AAAAAAAAAAAAAAAAAAAAAACAATTATTAAAAGTTTGAAAATATTCACATTTAAATAAATGATCTTATTATATTTGTACATTTTAAAATGTCATTATTTTATAATTTTTACTAACAAAAAATTCTAAAGAAAATTAAATTCTCTATTTATAAATTTAATTTTTAAAATAAAAAAATTAATTTTTTCTCTATTTTTTGTTTTTTTTTTTATAAATCTTATTGGAAAATAGAGGGCAATTCAATTCGTGATTCTTATGAAATTTTCAATAAATTTAATTTTTTTTGAATGGTCATATTAATCAACTATAAATAAAATATTGAAAAGGAATTTAAATTATTAAATAATGAAAAAGACAAGCAAATTGTATGGTAATACCTTGTTCAACAACTCCAATCCAAGATATTTATAATAATAATAATTAATAATAATAAATAATAACAATAATTTATCCTATTTCTTTGGCTCCAAGTGAATCCCTCCCAATTCTCAGCCACACAAATATTATATTTTAATTTATTTTCAACTTTTTCTTTATAAATTTATTAACTTATTTATATAATTTAATACCGACATGTAATTTATTTATTTAAAATAGCTTCCGATAATTTTGTTTAATTAGCTTCCAAGTCCATGTAACGACAAAAGGATCTGCCCATTGTTTAGGTTAAACTCCACGTTTATTTATTATATTTATTTAATTTTTTTTACCATTTTTGTATTAATGGTATTTTCAGAAATAAATATTTATTATAATTAAAAAAAATGACTTTATTTAATTTAAAAAATAATAATAACTACTCATCTTTATTGTCCGCCAATGAAAATTGGCCAGATGTCTAATTTTAATTCAGAAAAATATTATGTTTATTCCCTATCAATATATTCCTTCTTATTCAGTTTTCCTTTTCATGATATTAAAAGTAGTGGTTTATATTTTCATGGGTTCTCATGAAATTTCATCTTCAATAATTTTTTAATGAAAAAAATGAAAAAAAATAAAAAAATAAAAATATAGACGCAGAATTAATAAATTTGTAACTTAACCTAAAGATAAATATAGAATGATATTAAGTTTCGTCGATAATTATGAAATATTTTTTGTTTAATTTTATTATTATTTTTTATACGTAGTCTTTTAAAATTACAATTCTAAGAAAGAATTTTAAAATAATTTATTTTAAAAAAATTGAAGGTTATAAAACTAGGTTTAAATTAACATTAAAAAATTAAAAAATTAATTAAAAACAAAAATAAATTAGATATTGTAAGAGCTAACCCACTCTTTAATTTTTTTTTTATTTTTTTTTATATTGTTTCGAAAAAAACAATATTCTCAATAATACCATAATTTAATATCTAGATAACAATGGGCAGTGACGTGATTTCCTAATTTAATTGCATCTTTTTCAAATTGACCAGACTACCCAGAGATGTTGGGGTTAAAAGAAGGGTATTATCGTACTTTCATATAAGATAACACTGTACGCCTTGAGGCCCACGGTAACGAATTGTACATTCACGTAAAGATCGCTTCGGAATATACAAGTGAGGGAGAGACGGAAAGATGGAGAATCAACGAACGCAAAGCTTCGAGTTTCCAAGTAGAAATCTGCTCTCGCCGGGAAGTGTCCGATTCCGGCCGGAGGCAATTATTTTCAAGAGGTTGTTTCAAACTTCAGCCATATAAACTTGCCGTATACTTAAACGATTCCGGCGGCACTTCAGATTTGGTACGCTTTAATTAGTTTCGTGTTCTTCTTCGATGCGATCTTAATCATTCAACTGAAATCGATTCTTTGCTTCTTTTTCTATGTTTGCCTTGAAATAGAGAAGAGAGTTGAAATGAAAATTTATGACTCGGTTAAGTATTTCGATTCATTTATACGAAATTTCTGGTTGCTTTTCTGGATTTATCGTCCCGGAAAATTTAACCTCTCGAGATTTCCCCTTTTCCTGAGCTCTAAACATGTAGTAATCAGAGCTTAGGGCTAATTTCATTTGATTTCGATTTTGTTTTCAGTTTTAAGATCTTAGAAACTCGCGATATGTTAAAACTGTTTGGATTTTTTTTTCGGAAAACATTTCAGTTCACAGTTTAGAACTAGAGTTGAGAAAACAGAGGGAAACATCGTGTTTTTTTTTTTTTTTTTTTTTTTTTTTTTTTTTTTTTTTTTNTGTATATATAATGAAGAATTGTTTGTAGAATATTTTTTATATAATGAAGAATCGTTTGAAGAATGTTAGGTTTAACCATATTTCTTCTTGAAGGTCGGGTTTGAATTTGAACTGTGAGGCTTGACTGATGGTGCTGTTTCCGGGAGTTATTGAAGGAATGGTCAGAAACATGTCGATAAAGAAAAAGAGTAATGAAGACGGCGAGAAAGAAGCGGCTCGAGAAATGGCGAAAGAGGCGAAAAGGAACAAATCCATGATTTGTTTATCCGGAAGTGTTAAAACCAGCAAGTTTGATGATATGGCTTATGTTTGCACGAAAAGAGGAAATAAAGGAATCAATCAAGATTCTCTTGTTGTCTGGGAGGTACCTTTTTCTCTCTCTTTTTCCTTTTCCTCTTATCATCAATTCTTTTTTTTCTTCCTTTTTACTTGCCTAAATTATAATATGTGAACCTATTATGTTCATCCATGTTTGTATAAAATATATGATCATGACTTAAAAAAGCCGCTTTAATCAAGATTAGTTTGAGCAATTATTATTTTAAGTTCGACCAGATAAGATTAAATATGAGATCAGAAGATTGGAAGTTAGTTCTTTAAATTTTCTTTTACTATTTTATGAAAATAAGAACCTCTTTTAACTTATTTTCTTCGGAGTTAAGAAGGTTAGATAAAAGTCTCACATCAATTAATTTAGGGAATAATCATGAATTTATAATCAAGGAATATTATAATTATTGGTATTAGGCTTTTTGTGAATAAAGTAAAGCCACGAGAGCTTATGTTCAAATTGAACAATATCATATTCATTTAACATACTATCAGAGTCATGTCCTAAAGGTAGGCATGTCAATAGAATCCTCAAATGTCGAATAATAAATCGATTCTTTGGGATCCTTTCTTTTGGATATTTCTCAATGTTTCGATTTCACACTACGTGAAAAACAAATGAATAATCATCCGTTTTCATAAGAAATCAAAAATTCTCAATAAAGAAATAACAAAAAGTTGAAGGATATAAAATGTTTTTTCCTTCTTATTTTTACACAAATTTAGATCTATCATCTAACTTCATGCTAACTCTTAATTGGGTCTGAAAATTTTCTTAACTTTGATCCAAAGAACACGTTTATCTTTTTGACGCATATGGTGTGGCTTTAATTGCAGGACTATGGTTGCCAAGGAGACGTAGTTTTCTGTGGGATCTTTGATGGACATGGTCCTTGGGGCCACATGATTAGCAAACAGGTCAGAAAGTCTCTGCCTGTTGAATTGCTGACCAATTGGCAGCAAAACCTTTCCATGGAAGCCGACCAAAACCTTTTTCCTTTCAACATATGGAAGCAATCTTGCTTAAAATCATATGCCGCCATTGATGAGGAGCTCAAGCAACACCCTCGCATTGATTCCTTTTACAGTGGCACAACTGCTTTAACTGTGGTTAAACAGGTAATTAAGTTTTGATTTCTGTACGTTGTTGAAGATGGTTGGGATGGAATCCACATTGACTAATTAATAGAACAATCATGAATTTATAAGTAGGGAATACAACTTTAATCTTCATTGATAGAACAATTCTGAATTTATAAGTAGGGAATACAACTTCAATCTTCATTGATAGGATGTTTTTGAAAAATCAAAGACAAAACCATGAAAAGTTATGGTTAAATTGGATAATATCATACTTGTTTAGGATTATTGGAAGTGAGCCCCAAATTGGTTAATTTAGTGAATGATCATGAGTGAGTGAGTTTACCAATAAAAGAATACATCTCTATTGATATGAGGCATTTTAGGGAAGCCCAAAGCAAAACCACGAGAGCTTATGCTCAAAGTAGACAATATCGTGATGTGGAGATTCATAATTCCTAATAGATAAAATTCTCAAATGTCGAACAAAGAATTGTGGGCCTTGAAGGTGTAGTAAAAAATGATTTTGTCGAACAAAAGATGTACCTTGTGCGAGGGCTTCAGAAAAAGGAGTCTAGCCTCGATTAAGGGGAGGCTTATAGTGTAATTTGTTGGAGAGAAGGATTGTTGTGGATTATTAGGAGTCAGTCCCACATTAATTAATGGTTAATTTAGTGAATGATCATAAATCTATTATAAGTATACATCCTTTTTAGGAAATACAAACCAAAAATAAGAGAGCTCATGGTCAAAATAGACAATATCATACAGAGATGTAGTATTTTAGGTTAATGTCTATTTTTATTTATTTTTGGGGGTTTGATTGATTTTGTTCTTGCTTGTTTTGGTCTGAAACTGAATTTCAGGGCCGACATCTTGTGGTTGCAAATGCTGGCGATTCACGAGCTGTGTTGGCGGTAACTTCTGATGACGGCTGCTTGAAACCAGTTCAACTCTCCGTTGATTTCAAACCTAATTTGCCTGGTCAGACCCTTTTGTTTTTAATTTTTGAAGATTGTACGTATTCTTTAAATTTTTTTATTATGATTTCTATCTTTCAAACTGTTTAACTTTGATATCAAATTTCAAAAATTTATTATCAAATTTTAAAAAATAATAAATAAAAACTTTATCAAATAGGGCCTATTTTCTCTGTTTTTAAAATTTGGCTTGAATTTTGATGGAATTAGTATAGAGAAAACATGCTAGTCCCACATTGGTTAGAAATAGTAACGAGGCATCCAAGGTAAAAATCTCTCCCTACCATGCTGAGTTCTAAAATCTTGAAGAAAACTTCAGAAGATACAATTGAAAGAGAGGCTAATTACACGATAAATATATATAAATATATAAGAATTTGCACCCTGTTAGACGAACATGACTCTCCACAATCGTATGATCTTTGATTATAAACCAATGATCATTCCCTAAATTACCCGATGTGGAACTTTTATCATCCAACACCTCCCCTTAATCGAGTCTCGACTCCTTTGGAGTCTTAGTCATTTTTTGCTATGCCATCGAGAAGACTTAACTCATTTTCTTTTGGAGTCTTTTGTTCAACATTTGAGGATTTATCAATATATTGGCACAACTAAGTTTAGGATATGGCTCTGATACCATATTAGACAAATACTGACTCTCCACAATGGTATGATATTGTTTACTTTGAGCATAAGCTCTCATGGCTTTGTTTTGGGCTTCCTTAAAAAGCTTCATACTAATGGAGAGAGTATTCTTTGATTATAAACTCATGATCATTCCCTAAAATTAGCCTGGACTTCATCATCCAACAAAGCCAAAGCCAAATCGATGAGGAAGAAACCCATGAAAATGTGTTTAGCTAAACTAATCAATCGGCTTTTGTTTTGTTTTTCATACATTAGTTATAATAATATGCATGGGAATTTGAGAAGTGGGCTGCTTGGGTTTGTGTTAATTGCAGAGGAAGCTGAGAGAATAAAACAATCGAGAGGGCGAGTGGTATGCTTAAAGGACGAGCCGGGGGTCTACAGAGTGTGGACTCCCAACTCGGGCACGCCAGGTTTGGCCATTTCCAGAGCTTTCGGCGATTACTGCACCAAGCAGTACGGCCTCATTTCTGTGCCTGATGTTAGCCACCGAACCATTACCTCTGGAGATCAGTTCGTCATTGTGGCCACCGATGGGGTACGCCTCTCACTCCACTTTTTCCCTTATTTTCTCTTAGTCCCTGTCATTATTTAGATTATATTATAAATAATATTATTGAATTTAATAAACGTTTCAAAATTACTTAAAACTATTAAGAATTTTACACGAAAATTGAGATATGAAATGATGTGACAGTGTTAAAATAGAAATTTAGATCACCATATTAATTATATGGTCATTAACACTTTAAACTTAATTTATGTCTATAAAATAATTTAGAATTAAAGTGATTTTTAATTTTTTCCTAAATGAAGTTGATTAGAAATTTTGAATTTTCTTTTTCCCTCCACTAATTTAAATATTATGTTATTATGTTAGATAATCTATAATGTTATTATTAACTAATTTTAGTATTTATTATCATTGAAAAATGTTATATATCTAAGTGATTTAATGTAAAAAATTTAAAAATAATAGGGATTAAAATGAAAAAAAAACACCATTATGTATGAAAGTATATATTTGGCATTTATTAATTTTTGAAAAACATAATCTTTTTTCTAATTCTTTTAATATTTTTTTTAACATCTGTTCTTGTGGTTTCTTTACACAGGTATGGGACGTCATGTCGAATCAAGAAGCAGTTCATATAGTTTCTTCAACGTCAAATAGGGAAATGTCGGCCAAAAAACTAGTGGACTGTGCTGCTCGTGCATGGAAATCAAAGAAACGAGGCATTGCAAGAGACGACATGTCGGCTATTTGCCTCTTTTTTAATGCTTCCCCCACAAAAAATGATCTAGACGTAAATATATAGGTATAATATAAGACTCATTTTCCTTGTGTGTGGATTAAATATTCTCTTCATAGCCTTTTGGACACTATAAGGATAGGAATATTTATCATATAAGGTCTTAAAAGTTTAGAATATATGTTATGAGCATATTATAGTCGAATTTTTCATATATATATATATAGATATACTTTGAATAATAAAGGCACGCGTATTATACTTAAGTGTGCCATATTTAAATAGGAAGAAAGCGTTAACTTATTTTTCATTAATTTAAGTACTATATACCTTATTTGTATTATTAATTATGTAATTTCTATAAACTAATCATATAATATTCAAGACAATTTATAGCAACTTATTAAGTAACAAGGGGTAATAAATATTAAAAACTTTATGAAATAAAAATAAATCATAGACATCACAAACTTAAAATCATTAAAATATTAAAGATCGTTAAAATAATTCTTAAATTATGGAATCATAGGTCCGTAAAAACCATCACAAAATATGTATCTAAATCTTTGGTTACATTGGAGTCGAGTATGCATAGAAGTAGCACGAGCGACAAAAGTATAGGTTATTTCGTTGGCAAGAAAGGAAGTTGACTTCGTTGACCTGAATTGAAACAAAGACGCAATACACACGGAGGTGGGAATTGAAATATTCTAAATATACATTAAGGCCGACCTACTAATAGATATATATTTTTTAACACCATAAATGAAGGGTATAAGATTTGAAGTGAAAACAGTACATGTTAATTATTGTTCGGCTATACTTATATTAATAATAACATATTTGACTCGTTAAGAATTGTTGGGAGGGAGTATCTCCTTAGCTAATTCAGTGTAAAATGATGGGAGGGAATCTCTTATCGGCTAATTCAGTGTAAAATGATAAAATGATGGAGTTATGAATGAGAAATATTATTTCTAATAGACCCAGAGATATGTGATATTAAACTTAATTTTTAAAATAAAAATTGCAAAAATTTTAACTTATTTTATCGCATACCATATTTAAGTCATCACAAATCCTAATTCCTGCTCCCCTAAAGTCACTCCCCAAGTACGAAGCACTTACGCTATTGTTTGAGTTTCTGATTCTTGCGGCCAATGACTGATCGACTCGCTCTCCAATTCGCTCATCGTTCTCTCTGCCTAGGGCACTCCGCTTCGCATCCCAATCCGCTCCGAGTTTCAGGTTCAGATTGCGTTGCCTTTCTCTTTCTGTAGTGCGTACTCTCCTCTTTGCTCCGGCTCTAGTCTCGTTCTTCGAAGTAAACTCCGGGAGATATCTCCGATCAACGCGTCGTTGAACAGCGGAATGTCGAATTCCATGGTGAATGAAGCAGAACCGAAGGAACTGCGAGATGAGTCCGATTTTGAAGCCATCTTCTCCGGCGGTGATTTCATTTCCGTTTGTGGCTTTGGTTCTCTTCTCTCTGGTATGTACGATTGAGATAATAACTTGATCGTTTCGTAGTCACGATGGTTGATTTTATATTGTGACCGGTTTGTGTGTTTAATTTCTCTCTCTGTTGAAGCAGAGCGGAGTGCGTGAAGTACCTTTCCTGAACTGATCAATTTTAGAGTGGTGAGATTGAACGGCTTCAGACGCGTTTTCGGAAATGTGGCTCGTATATTCTTTGAGCGTGGCATTGCTAAACCTGAAACCAAGGTTTTTCTATTCTTGAGATTCTGTGCCTACTGTTTTATTTGTAGTATATCTGATTGGATACGGAGAAATTTTGTGAAAAGAGAAGTGAGATACATGAATAATTGATGACTGTCTTTCTCCTCTTCCATTTTCCTTTCAGTTTTCAAGTCCAGTTTCTGTTCTAATCTAATGAATCTGGCAATAATGTTTAACGACATGCTATACGTCTGAATATCAGGAGATCTCAAGCTTGTGTGCTGAGCCTTGCGAAGGAGAGACTATCATTGTGACGGTTTTCGAGATTAAGAAGTCTGAGGTAACATTAACAGAACTTCATTTAGAATAATTGAACCTTGATGTGAAGAGGAATAATTTCTTAATCTCGTTTATGCTGCCTAACACTCTCAGATTCCAGCGTTTATACAGAGAGAGATTGAGTTTCGATTTCTAGCTGTAAGTGACTGGCTCCTGTCCAATATCTTATATCTGATGAACTCTTTAAGGCCGATTTTGATGGTACTATTTGAGAAATATGTTTTTGATGTAGGTTCTACTTGAAACATTAGATGGAAAGCTATATAATAAACCAGCGGTATGTGATAATTGATGATTATGTAGTCACTAGTATTTCTGGATCACTCTTAGATCACTCTTCTTTACATGATAATATCAAGCGCAGTATTTAGTAATCGATTGATGATTTATAGTTACATTGCAGGTGCTTTGTTCTCGATCAACTGATGAGGAATTTTTCCAAGTGAGATGCAAAGGTACTCTTAAAACTATCCTTCTCAATTATACCAAACTATTCATGAATGATTATGGAAGTCAAAGTAGAAGTCTAGAAATTGAGACAAAAGAAATGCTACTACAAAATCAGAATTTCTACCAACTGCTAGCTTATATCTTCTAATATCAGGAAATAAGGACATTTTTCTTCAGCATTATGATTGTCATATTATTGACAAGATCTGGAGAGATGATATCTTACCTTGTCGCGTCTATCTTCGACATTGGTAAGTAATTTTGCAGTACACCTTCTGCATTCCAAGCAAATATTTTCCTAGAATAGCAACAGGATTCATCATGAAACATTAGAATTAAGGCAATGTTTAATTTGGTTCAAGGTCCACTGCTATACTTTATATCTATAGAAGTTGGGACCGTCATCGCATGCTTCTGTTAATTATGAACTGTATGTGTACAAAATCTTTTTGGTTTAGCATTTCAAATGCTGCTCTAGATTTATCAGAAAACCTACGCTATTGATCATAATTATCTCTTATGAGTAAACTTACAAAAAAACAAGTTTATATCCCACTGTGCTCTCTTCTCTAAAGATTTTAAATCCTTTAAAAGAAAAGATATATATGCTATAATAGTGAAGGTAGAATTTCTACGTTTATATCGAAGTATATCGAAGCATGAAACACTCATTTTTTTAGTTAATCTATCTTCTTGTCAATGATTGTGTACTCTCCATGGGTGCCTGATAACTGATTGAGGCTGTTTAATTTGTAGCTTGTTAGAAATAAATTAGACAAGTTGTAGTTTTCTAAAAAAATCAGTAAATTGTTTCTTTTCCTGAATTGTTTAGCATCTAGATTTCACTCTTCTTAATGTGTTTCTGTTGTACTTTGATGTCTGATCCATAAAGTTTTGATTCTGATAGAAATATTGGGAATAACTTTGTTCGTAATTTGTTCATGTAAACTGATATTTTCATAGTATTTTAGCTGCAAAAAACCTGGGTGAAACAGCTTATAACAACTTTCTGAATCACACTTTCCTTGGAGATCGCAGTACAACCATCCATGAATATTTAGCCTCTAGTGGTTCAGGCATTATGGAAGAGGAGCCTCCAGAATCCCTCAAGTTCCGATATGGCGGTTGATATTCCACAACAAAAGAACTGCAGAGGAGGCTTATTGATCCTTGGAAGCCTGGAGAGGTACAATCTTAACATATTGTCTTTATGTTGGGTTTGTAAGCAATAATTTATATCTTAGCCATTGTTAAGAATTTAATGAATCCAAACCATCCATGAACTTAGTATTAAGCTAAAGAATTCATTTTTGCTATGGTCCAAGCCTAGAACCTTGCCAATCCATGAATGTTCTTGTGTGCGGTGTACATAAAACTGAAAGAAGAAGAAAAAAAAAAAAAAAAAAAAAAAACCCCACNAAAAGATAACAAATAATCAAATAATAGAAAACAAATAAAAAACCAAATTATTGGTTTGGATCGGTCTATTTCTTTTATTCGATTTTTTATTGATGTGTTATAAAATAACCTAATTGAATAGAAAATTTTATTATATTATAATATCCCTTTAATTTAGCATGAATATGTTGATTTTTTTCTTAAAAAAAAAAAAAAATCAAATGCCTGATGGAAGAAATAGTAAAAACATTTTGATATTTATAGGCTCAAAACCATTAAATTTTGAATGTTCATTTGAAATTTGATTCAAAGTAGTTTTTAGAATTAGGCCTAATAAGCCCGAAGCCTAGAAAACCAAGCGGTTTGGTTATAACTTATAACTGGTTCACAAGAGTCTGTTAATTTGGTTTGGTTTAGTCTTCTACAAATTTGGGTGTTTTTTTTTTTTTTTTTTTTTTTTGTTAAATTNCAAATTTGGTATCAACCTTTTGGAAAAGGTTAGAATTTAGTATATGGTTTGAAAAAAAAAAAGTTAGAATTTCATTTATATGATTGGATAAAACTTCATAAATAGTGGATCAAATTTATTATTTAATTTTTTTATTTTAACTGATGATTTATAACCTAACCAAACTGAACCCAGATATATTTGCTCTTATTATCTCTTTTTTTTTTTTTTTTTTTTTTTTTTTTTTTTTTTTTTTTTTTTTNATGTGGACATTATTTATTAGTCGCTTTTCAGTGTGGTGGGGTTGGAGAAAACCACTTTCAAAGCAACGGTTTACTAGTGTAGTTACTCGGATGCCCTTCTCTTCAGATATTAGCGGAGATTAGATACGAGCCTTCTCTTCTTTTCTGCCAAGTGCTGCCATGAAGATTACTTGAAGCCTGCCAGCCTCATTTTGGGTTCGGAAAGTAACAAGGTAAAGGTTTCTTATTCTTTCTTTTTTTTTTTAAATAATTGCTGCTATGCATTATGGACTAGTAGTAATGATGATTTGGAAACAGACTTTTTTTTTAAAAAAAAAAAAAAAACTAAAAAAGTTTTATGCAAAACATCATTTCCCAAATCATTTTTAGAGATTTGTTTTATAAAACGATAGGAAAAATAAAGGGAAAAAACTGTTGTTTACAATGATCTTATTCTATCGAATCTCTACATGGAATGTTTTTAAAAACTTAAAACACATTTTTAAAAATATAATTGAAATGAATTGCAATCAAATGAAATTTTGTAGATAATAATTGAAGGATCAAAACAAGATTTTAATGTAATAATTATGTAAGAAATTACTTGGGTGTATCGGATACATCAATACTGTTAACAGTTTTATCTTCTCGTTTATAATATAGAGATTCAATCAAACCACTTTATGAAATTATTTATTTACATTTCGTAATTGCTGCTTGATACATCTCTTTCAAGTTGGTTGATCAACAATTCTATCATCTTTTTGTACATTGGCATGTAATGATCATTTATCATTGTTCTAGAGAGACGCAGCTTACCGTACAATCCTCTTGGCGTCTCGTATATGCCAACTCTTTCCTGCACAATCTCATTGTCATGAACGAAACTATTATCAGAATCCGATGAGGGGACCGAAACAATATGCATGGTTTTCCCAGGAGGATAGAAACGAATGTTTTCAGAAGCGTCCAGAGAAGACAATGGCTTTTCACTGCTCCCCTCCACTTCGGTAAGCATACTCTCCTCTTCTTCTACGATTTCTTTGGCTACTGCAGCCACATTGGCTTCTCGAGTAATAACATCGGTGGTGGTCCTGGTCTTTTTCTCCTGTCGCTGCAGTTCCTTCTCCAGTTCATACCACAACTCACCATCGGTAATGTCGTCGACATCGGTTGAGGAGGCAACGGTTTTATCTTCGTTGATGAGGTGGTGCCGCTCATCATCGGTGTCATGATCTGAACTATCATCATCACCCAACGAGCTAGAGCCAAACTCTAGCTTCTTTTTCTTTACAATTGTGTTATTAGTTGTAACTTCATCATCAGCAATGAGTGATTCGTGTTTTCTTTCAGTTCTCAGAGGGGCTTCAGGCAACTCCTCTGTGGGATTGGGTAAAAGGCCTCCGTTTCTTCTGCGGGCGCCCATGCAAGACCAGGAAGCCAGAGAGGAGCGAGTTCTCACAACCGCGCTTTTCACGGCAGTCTAAAAATCAACGTCAATGCCAAATCAAACAACTAAGAACAGATTTGTTCCTTTTATTTATTATTATTATTATTTAGTTCTTGATGAAGAAAGAAGAAACCTGGGTGGTGGTAGAGACTGGGCGGAGAAGGGCGCCGGCGCCGGCGACTTTAGCTTTGGCAGTAGCTATGGATGGAAGGCGTGAGCCCAGAGCACTCGCAGAGCGGTAGACAACACTGAGGACCCTGGTACGCTCCACCTGATCTCGTAAATCATTCAGCCACGATGATGCTGTCACCTAATCATAACCACTCGTAAGAATAATAATTATTTAAATAATTATAAAAATATTATATCATATTTACAATAGCATTTATAAAAAAAAAAAACTATAAAAATATCAACAAAATATGTGAAATTATTTTAACAGCCACGCAATTTTTAATTAATTTTTCACTGGAAAAAAAAAAACAGGAAATGTAGACTTTTTTTGCTCTTTGCCCCTATTTTTTTTTTTATTTATTTTAACTTTCAATTGGTTGTTTTTCGAACCAACTTTTTCAGAAATGCATTATTTGAGAAGAGGATTTTAGGGATAAATTCTAGGGAGTACAAATTAAAGAGTCGAAATATTAGGAATCTAGTCTTAAAAAAATGTTAGATCTTATCTACAGCTTGTAAGAGATTAAAATTTTGATACGCAATAAGCGAAAGAAGCTATATAAAAAAAATTAGTCGAAAACTGGGAAAATTAAGAGAAACAAATTAGAAAATTTTGAATAGGTATAATAAGTTTAATGTAAAAAGTAAGTAAGTTCTTAAAGAAAAATGTATACATTTTTTTTAATAATTTTAACCAAATTAAAAGCCTTTTTTAAAAACAAACGTTAATGAGAAATGCAAAAGAGAGAAGAAAGAAAATTATTTTTTATTTTATTTATTTATTTATTATTATTATTATTATTATTATTATTTTGCCATTGGTGAGGGAGAGAATCTTAGAGAACAAAAAGTACAGCGGTGAAGTTTGAAATTACTAGATTGTTAAGCTCGTAAAAACACTTTCTACCAATATTTTTTTTAAAAAAACAAACTTTGTTTTTTTATTTTTTAGAAGTTAAATATTTCGGAAAAGGAAATAGTAAATAATGAAATATTAATATTTAATTAATTACCTCAGATCGCAAGTCGTCAATAGAAGCCGCAGAGAAGCTGGGAACCAAATCTGAACTATTAATAATTGTTGTGATGAACTGCTTACCCGATTCTGCCAACTCCCATGTCATACAAGCCGCTACAAAAAATACAATAATCATAATAAGAATAATATAATAAGAATAATAAGAATCAGAAATTGTTAAAGCATAATAACAGACAGACCTGGGGCAAATGCGATGCAAGTGGTAGATGAGAAGTCCTTTTGTTCTCGAAGAATATATGTTAATAAAGCAGCGGTTCCTCCACCAAGAGAATGCCCAACAATCTGGATATCATAACAATCTATGCCATTACAAATGTGCTCTTCACCAAAAGTACATAAACATTCCAACTCTTTTTATTGATTTATTATTATTATTATTATTATTATTATTTAGAGCATTTTTCTTTATTTTGTTTTGTAATTCATAAGAGAAGGATTCCAAGTGTTAGAAAGATTGTAATGACAGACAATTGTTTCTCAAGATTATGTTTGTCCAGAGGAGGGAGAAAGGACGGTCTTAGTCTTACATTTGGTTGTCAAGAAAAAATGAAGGTAGAAGGCTATCAAAATTAAAATCCATTTTCTCTAAGCCTTTTTAACTATTTGGATTATAGCCCTTACTAGGCCCTCATCCCCGTGATGGTTTGGGTATGTGGCTGCTAAAAAAAGGTTTCGACACCCTTATAGAGAATGTTTCATTCCTTTTTCTCTCCAATCGATGTGGGATCTCACAATTCATCCCCTTGAGAGCCGCTGGCACATAGCCTAATATCTTACTCTTTATACCATTTGAAACAACTCAAGCCCACCACTAGTAGATATTGTCCTCTTTGTTTTTTCCTTTCGTGCCTTCCCTCAAGATTTTTAAAAGGCGTCGGCTAAGGAGAGATTTCCACACCCTTATAAGAAATGCTTCGTTCCTCCAATTGATGTGAGATCTCACATCGAGCATCTATAGTGAGATCTAGAGGGAAAGCCGAGCATCTATAGTGAGATCTAGAGGGAAAGCCTAAGGCACACCATGGTTCAATATAGCCCTGAATTATAACCTTTTCTTCTGATTTTCGGACTTTAAATCCAACCAAGGGAGTAACCTTCTGTTTGGAAAGATTTAACTCAAGGAGAAGAAATTTCCAGATATTTTCTCTATTGGGGTGAGAAATTGGGATTTTAGCATCAGACAACATCTCCTTGAAGCCTTTTCAGGATGGAGAGTGTCCAAGAAGGCAAATATTTTGTGGAATTGTGCGGCTAGGGCATTTTTATGGTGCATATGGTTGGAAAGAAATCAAAAGATCTACGAAGATTAGTCCTTCTATCTTGAGCTTTTTTGTAGAAGTGTACGGATTACTAGCTTCTTGGTGGGGTCTTAGTCATAGGAAATTCTCTTGTAATTACAACTTTTCTTCAATTTTAAGCAATTGGAATGCTTCCCCTAGCTTCTTTTCGGAGAGTATAAGGTTGTTTTTTGGTTTTTTCTCTCTTAATACACTTGTGTGTGTGTGTGTATGTATATATACATATACTGTCAGTTGGATTTGGATTCGTGAAAACAGAACATCTTCTTCTTTTACCAGTTACCCGCTTTTGTCAAAAAAAGTACTAAGATCAGTAATGCAGCACCTAGAGAGATAAGCGGAGTCAAGGCCTAAAGACTGTTTGTTTCCAATAGCAATAGTCAATTTAAAGAAAGAAGTATCTTAACACAACTCACTCATATCATATCATTCCGCCTTGGATCAAAGCTTCATTTCTATGTAAATGGAATGAACTTTTCTATGTATATATATATATATATAGATATCCATGAGAAGGGAACATAGAAAAGTTTTCTTAAAAAATGATCACCAACAGCACAAGCCAATTTTAGCCAAATATATAATTAAACATATCAAAACTAAAAGGTCTCACAATTAACAAAAAAAAGCCACAAAGAATAACAGAAAGCATCTCGGAAACATCTGGGGAAAGAAATACAATTTATCAATTCAAACATGATTATGATGAAATATAATTTATCAATTCAAACATGATTATGATGAAATGCGGCAGGCAAAACATGGTTATAGTAGAAGGAAACAGGGCAGTGCAAGGTCTAAAGGAAGAACAATGAATTAACTGAATTTACATACGCATAGATAGATCAAATAACCAGGGAAGGTAAGAAAATAACGCACCTTTATTTTGTAGTCGGGAAAATCGTCGAGACCTTTGAGTAAGCGTGGAGTGCTTAGCTTCGCAATCCAACGAGCTGCAGCAACCATCCCAAAATGTGCATATCCTAAAACCAGATTACTTATTCCACCATCGTGTAAAACTGAATGATGGAAAGGAACCACTGCACCAGTTACTGCTGTTAATGTATCTTTGATACTATGAGTGCCCCGAATCAGTAGAAGGAAGCATTTTGAATTACTGTCACGAATTATTGTAAACGCAGGCTTCAAAATCTGCAATTAGTAAAGGTAGCAGCAATTAAAAACGATGGTAAAAAACTCAACCCAGATTAAGAATTCTAACGACTGGAAACAATAAAGCTTGGAGTTTCTAAAACTACTACAACTCAAGTGATCATTGAAGAAGAAGAAGATATTCACATATTACGAATAAAGGCAAGCATCAAAACTACGGGCCATCACATTATTGTGGAATTAGCAAGATTTCAACTACAATGATCATTTAAGACCTTGGGTTTTTGGTTTTTGGTTATTTAGAATTGGACTCTTTTCTCCAAATTTATTTAAAATGGTTTTCATTTTCTTGAAGGAAATATTCAAATTCTTAGTCAAATTTCAAACACAAAAACAAGAACTATGTTTTTTAAGTTATTAAAACTTGGCTTGAATTTTGAAAACGCCCTAAGGTAGACACAACAAATAAAGAAAACTCCCGGTAATGTTTATAAAGCTTAATTTAAAAAAACTAAAAACAAACGAAAATAGTTACAAGTTTCCTACAAGAACATTAAGAATGATGGTTTTAAAATTGCTAAGCAGAGAAAAAATGGTGATATGGCCTATTAAAGAGCACAAATAAGCAAATCCCACGATGAGTACACCTGAAATGGATTTACAAGGATCAGAATCTAAAGAAGGAAGGTTTTAAAAGGTTAAATACCCCTGCTTTTGGTTTCTGAATAAGCACATCCTCCTGAGAATAGCCAGCAGATTCTAAGAAAATTGGGAACGGTTTCTTAGAGAAAAGCATGCAGAAGGTGAGCAACCGCAAGAAACTCTTCAACTCTGCGATAATTTCAGGACCTCTGAGTTGTACACTGTCGTTGCCCGCATACACATTAGCAACTTGTAAATTACCCTGCAAAGTAACGTCGCTAAGTCCAAAATACAAAAATTACATGATCTCGGAACTGATTTCAATTCACTTTCAAGATCCGGTACATGAAAAATAACAATCATCTGTAAGAGAAAAGAAAACACTACAAAATCTAAATCGGTAACAATAGATTGCGACATATGAAGACATTTAAATGTAGAACAACGTAATCTATCCGCGTGCAAGAAACGGAGGCTCCTAAACGACCACAGGAATGTGTAATTCATATTCCTGAATACTCATACGAACAGGAACGGGGAAGAAATGAAACAAGACAATGCACGTCAAACCGTGAAAGATCGATGGTCGTGGCAGAGTAACATGGCCGCTAAGTCCATGAACTCATAACTAAAATCTCTTTCGCGTTGAGTTCAAGGAAAACAGCAAGCATTCAAAATGAACGAACATACAACAAGAGAAGAAAAAAAGAGACAGAAATCCAAAACAGTGAGGATAAATTAGTACATGTCCAGTATCTTATAGATAAAAAGTAAGTTCCTATGTTGGCGTTCGAGAAATAAAGGCTCTAAACCGACCACTGGAATTTTATGTAGCTCAGTCACACTCTTGATGCGAACGGAAATGAGGAAAACCAAAAAACAACAAGAAGCGAATGTAAGTCGAACAGTGCGAGATCGCAACTCGTGGCAGAGAAACATCTCTAAATCCAGACTATCAAAATATACATTAACCTCAGGACTAAATTCACCTTCAAGTTCTGGCACAAGGAAAACAAGAGGCATTCGCAAACAAAGAAATAAAAGCACCATAGAATCGTCCAATAAATTACGGCATATCAAGACTCAAAAATCAAAATGCATCGTCCTTATGTGCACAAGAAATGAGGCTCTCAAACTTCAATCGGAATTTTGTGTAGGTTCACACTCTTGAAACGAACCAAAACGAAGAAGAAGAAAAAACAACAAAAAGCGAATGCGCGTCGTCCAGTGAAAGATCGCGAGTCGCGTCTGACAAATCGAACAACAAAAAATCTCAAGGAAACAAGAGCGCACCTGTCTCCGCATCAAGTAATTAATGCCAAATGCCAAGTCGCCGATCGGCCATTTCCCCAAGGTCTCGGCGTATGTAAACCTAAGAGTCTCCGATAGAGTAGTAATCGTCTCAAACCACGTCGCCGGCGCCTGAGCCGGCCTCCGAGAGATCCTTCTCCTTCCCGATCTAATCGATTCGGACAAATTATCACTCCGATCGTCTTCATCACCTTTTGCTGCCAATCTCCGGCTCAGAAGATAATACATAAGCAAAGCGGCTCCCGCATAGGTTGCCAATGCGCCGGCCGCCATGGTATCGAATTATGGAGATCGAAACCTCAAGAAAAAAACCATCAAACTCGAATGCGATGATTTCGTTGCAAATTAAGACAAAAACAAAACCACAAAAGTGCCTATAATCAAATGCCGATAGAATATAGGGCTCCGAAATTGGAGAATCAAGAGAAGGGAGAACAAAGGAAGAAGATATTCAGGAAGGCGGATATGATTCCTAAATTCTGGAGAGACTATTGCGTTTGTTTTGAGGAAAGGCAGAGATAAATCTTTGCTTGGTGTCTGCGACGATAGTAAGGGTAGTTTCGTCATTCTAAAAGTATGCTCGACGTTTCCATAACAAATTCCGATCGCCGAAACCAAATAAAAGCATAAAACAAAGTTTTGACTATAAAGTCAAGGGTACTGTTTATACTGTTAGCTATTTACATTATTATTTTTTCATTTTGTTTAAATATTAATTTTTTTAGGTTAAATTATACCCTAAATAAATAAATAAATATTAATTTTTTTTACTTTTAAACTTCAAAATTTATATATATATATTTTTTTTTTTTTTATGTTATTGAAATATTGTCTAATAGACAATTACTTTTTATGTTTGGCATCGTGATCTTGACACGCTCATGACCAGTTTTAAGGGAAACTTAATCCTCATATTCATTTTTCGTCCCGTTTTGTGGCTTCGTCGAACTTTAGGCGAGGTTAATCTTCGCCAACTGAACATCGCTCGTGCGGAATCTAAGCTTATTCAGCCATACATGCCGCCTGCACATGCATGTTCCATCCTTTGTACACCCAACTGGCTTGCATCTATTTTAGGTCAAGTCATACAGCTCGACCTTAATTTTACTTACGTCCAAAGTCTCGTTATTTTAAGAACACTAATAATTTTAAACTATAAATTAAATATATATTATTATTATTATTATTATTATTAAAAATGAAATATTACGGAAGTAGAATTAAAGTATTGAAGCCACGAATGGAGTGGCCATTATGTTATAAAAGGAGTGTTGTACGATGAAGGGATGAAATTAGTGGTCGGGAGAAGATAACGACAAATCTCAATAGCTGGCCGTTATTGGATCGGAGCCCGTTGAAGTGGGCCCACGTTTGCACACGTGGCCCACTTCGAAATCTTGGAAGTTCTAATTTTAAGGCGTGGCTAATAAAAAATAAAAAATAAATGCATTTTATTTTAGATAATTTCATAAAAATAACACTCATTTATTTGGTCACATTTTTTTATAAACAAATTTGTTTAATAATTGCTATTGAAACACAATAAACTAATAATTTAAATTTTGTATTTCAAACATTTATGGTCGATCGAGTGGTCTTTTGGTGGTGAGGTGTGAAGGAGATAACTCGACCACACACGGTGCCTGCGTGTGCATGTTTAATCATCTGCAACACAGCCGACTGACCTCTACATATATTTAGTCATTTGGCTCGACCTTGTCTCTATCCGAGATGAAAGTCTCTTAATGCAATGTTACATCCAATATCATCTTGAATTCCAATTAACATGACTCGTATTTAACTCCCAAGTTATGGGGTGTCGTTGGCTATCATAGCATATTTGGTCATGTCATTGAGAACAGATCAACATGTTGTTCATGTTGGATGAAAGTGTCCCATATTGGTTAATTTAGGAAATGGTCATGGGTTTATAATAAAAAAATACACTCTCCATTGGTGTTAGATATTTTGGGGAAGCCCAAAGAAAAGCCACAAGAGCTTATGTTCATAGTTGACAATATCATACCATTGTGGAGTTCCATAAGTGTTTGGTATTATTATTTTGGTTATAAAAGCATTTGTAACCGTTCAAGCCCACCACAATATATATATTGTCATTTTTGAATTTCTCTAGAACTGCTCGTTTTTTATCAGAAGCTTGTGATTTAGTTTTTTATGCAGCAAGTAGGGGCAAACAATTCTTAATTGTTGGTACCAAAAATAAAGCAGCGGATTCAGTAGCCCGGGCTGCAACAAGGGCTCGGTGTCATTATGTTAATAAAAAATGGCTCGGGGGGATGTTAACAAATTGGTCTACTACCGAAACGAGACTTCATAAGTTCAGGGACTTGAGAACGGAACAAAAGACGGGGGGACTCAACCGTCTTCCGAAAAGGGATGCCGCGGCTTTCTCGTTTTTAAAATTCTTACCAACGGCTTTCTCGTTTTTAAAATTCCTACTGTCAATATATGAATAAAAACTGTCTATCTACCCTTTTAAATATTATTTTGAGAATATTGTTTTTAAATATTACTAATTTCACAATCTTTTTTATAATATATTATTGCTCAATACAAAGTTTTTTTAGTGTTTAAGGCAATCATTATGGTTAATTAAATATTAGTAGAAGAATTTGTCAAATTTTAATTTTTTAATACATAATTGGTTTATTTTATTAAAAACGGTCGTAGTCCTCTTCATGCTTCTAGAAGTGATTAAAATATTGGTAGCCTGAGGGGAACGTTTTATTGTGTTCAAACAAATTAAATATTAAATAAATACATAATGGATCAAAATGATAGTCAATGTTCATGGATAACGTAATATCTATTAAATTTGGGATTAAAATTTTTGAAGATTAATCATTTATTTAATTATTTTAGAAATTATACTTTTCACATGTACAACTAAAAATTTATAAAATTTAAATATTAAATAATTCATAATATTCATAATGATTATTAAAATAGGATTAGAGTGGCGTGTTAACCTATTTTTGAGTTGGTTAGATTGACCCGACAAAAAAAATTTCATCCTACAAACTTAATTGAATTTTGATTTTTAAAAGTTCAACTTAATCAAATTCATAAGGGAAAAAAGATCGGGGAACGAGTATTCTTTTTGAGGGTGTGGAAACATCTCACCAGTAGACGTGTTTTAAAAACCTGAGAAGTCCAAAGGTAAAGTACAAAGAACACAATATCTGCTAATAGTGGGTTTAGGCTGTTATAAATAGTATTAGAGTCAGACATCGGGTAGAGTGCCAATAAGAACGTTGGGTGGATTGTGAAATCCCACGTCGATTGGAAAGGGGAACAAAATATTTTTTATAAGGGGTAGAAGAAAAGAGCCAGTGCCAGCGAGAACACTATTATTTATAAGGGTGTAGAAGTCTCTTCCTAACATACACGTTTTTAAAACCTTGATATTAATTAGAGAAGACCTAAACGACTCGCCGGAATGTATAACGACAACTTACGACACTCATGTACGATTGTAAAACTGCATGTTGTTGAACATCTGATGGCTCGTTGCTATGACCTTGTCGGATGTGTTTAATGGTCTCTTGACGGTCCACCATAATACACTCACTTAGGGACTTTTTACTCTAACTGTTCCAAGAGTCTCCGCTATTGATCTCGATCTCAATCTGATAGACGGATTGATTCATCCCTAATTAGTCAATTAAGAGTTTATTTAATTTGACTAAATGTATTTAGTGATAAACAATGGGAAATCAAATGGAGCTTCGTCAACGCTATCGGCATTTTCACGTTAAAAATAATTAAATTAAAAATTTAAATGATTTTTTAAAAATATATTTAATTATTAAATGGAATTTGCAAGCTTCATCTCCCAACTATAAATAGACCATTTCCGTGACCCTTCATCATAAGCTCACATCCAAAGCCTTATTACTATTAGCCAATAATTCTCTGTTTTTCTTCTGCTAAAGTTACCAAGCTGTGAGATAGCAATGGGTGTTTTCACTTACGAAAATGAGGTGACCACCGTCATTCCTCCGGCCAAGTTCTTCAAGGCATTTATTCTTGATGCCGACCGACTTTACCCCAAGATCGTGCCACATCAGCCCAAAACTGAAGTTGTCGAAGGAGATGGCGGGCCCGGAACCATCAAGATTATCACCTTCAGTCACGGTAATGTGAAATTAGCATCACTCACAATAATATAGATTTAACTTATCTAATTTTGTTTAATTTTTTATTTTATGTCTGAGGAGTTAGACATTTTTATATATTTTTTAAAATTTTAATAATTTATTAAATACAAAATAAAAAATTTAAGATGTTATTATAAAAATTAATTTTATCTCAAATAGGTCAATTAATTTTTAAAAATGTAAAATATGCTAAGAATTTGTTATACACAAATTTAAATTTAAAAAAATATCTATTAAATATTTTTAAAATTTAAAAATTTATTAGAAAAATGTGATAAGAGTCCTGTGACTTTAAATATATATTTTTATATTTTTTTTAAAAAATTAAAGGCTTAAATTAAAAGAAAAACACTAAAAGTGATAATAAATAAAATGAAAAAAAAGAATAGAATAAAATAAATAATAATTAATTTCATTTATAGCTTGGATTATATTGGATTGTAATTAGTCATAAGCTAAAAATTAAAAAAAAAAATGTATATATAAATATTTTTGCAGGCGGGCAAGTGAAATCCATAAAGCACAGGCTGGACGTAGTGGACGAAAAATCGTTGACTTACAAATACACGGTGTTAGAAGGGGAGCTTTTATCGGACAATATAGACCAAATTTCAAAGGAATTAAAGGTAACGGCGGGACCTGACGGAGGATCCATTTTGAAGAGCATAAGCATTTACCACACCAAAGGAGACCACCAAATCGACGAGCAGAAGCTCAAGATCGGCGAGGAAAAGGGATTGGGCCTTCTCAAAGCCGCCGAGGCCTACCTCCTGGCCAACCCTGCTGAGTATAACTAAACCAAGAATCAAAATATATTTCAAATAATATTAATATAAATAAATAAATAAATATATAATTACATGTATGGATTTGAATTTTTATGTGTGTTTAAGCTTCTTATAATAAGGGTTTGATTGTAATTGTGCACATGGGGTTTTTTTTATGCTTGTGAGTTGTGATTGTATTTTCAAAGGTGAAAGAATGTTAAGTCGTATTATTAAGTTTCAATAAAATAATTGAATAATGAATTTGCCTAAAATGATCTGTGTTTATTTGGATTATCAAATTTTTAGTATTTATTTAATAATTTCTTAATATATCCAAAAATAAAAATAAATAAATAAACTTTATACTTTGTTTGCAGAAAACTTGTGAATTTTATAAAATATTCGGTAGGTAAAAAATTTATTACACCCATGTTGAAAGTTTAGAGGTAATTTTACACAAACTTAAGAGCTAAAGAAACTACAAAGACCAATTGGACAAAATATATATATATATATATATATATATTTAAAAGTTCACTATAAGATCAAATAAGAAAACCCTAAGAAAGTTTTTACATTAAGTTAATGAACAAAAAGGCAAAGCTTTAAAAAGGGCATATTTGTAATATTTGTTATAGAGAGAGGCTTTCCCACTTTCTTTAACTCAAAAATGGGAAATGACCGAGACAAGAAAATGTTCATATTTTTACGGTATACCCTCGAAGCATGTTCATTTTTTTAAGGTATACCCTCGAAGCAGATCCAATAGAGAACGGGTGAGATCTGTAGCTCAGGAGATTAAAGCATATGGCAAAGGACTACGGGGTCGGGTTTCAAACCCTTGTCATCCAAAACAAGCTAAAAAGGGAAATAATTTTTCCTCTAACAAAGTGTATGTAAGGTGGTTGAATTGAGAAGCCAAATGAATACCTAAACGAATAAGAGATTGAACCTTCAAGTAAACCAAAACCTAATCCATGAACCAAATATCTTCTTGAGCTGTTTCATCAACTATCACTAGATTTAACCTTCCTACCAAACCCTAATTCATGCAATTATTGAAAATTAAAAACAATAATTTTCCATTCTTTTGTTTAATTCAATCATAAATCATGCGAATTTCAGTCTTCAATTCCAGACTTCTGGCTAATCGTAAGATTTTAGGATAAACATAACATGAAGCAAAGTCTAGGCAACTTAAAACAGCTTGAGATCAACATTATTTTCCCAAGAAAGCTTACAAGTTCTAGAGGATGAGTTGGAGACCATCTATGATTTAAGAGTAGCATTATCATATCATATTACTAAATGTTGATAAAAACAAGAGCTTCCATCTTTGCATTTATGCACATATATACTTATGGATAATAGAACATTGCATAGTTTACCTAATAACTATTGCCACCTGCTGCAATATCCAAATCAGATTGATCCATCCCGATATAACCTACGCTCGTGGTTCCATACTATAACTGGCATGGTCTCTTCTTCCGACGAACCTATACCCAATCATAACTCATCAAGAATAGTAGACATCAACAGCCCTTGTACAAACTCACATTTCTGAGCCCTCTCCTTTTCATCCTTATCTGAAGCCGCGAACCTCGAGACACTGCTGCCAATTGATAAGTTCAGGTTTCAGATTATGCAAAGAAGAAGACATATTCTATTGATGTGATGTGAATTC